CGAGGGCGGCGGAGGTGAATTCATGAAGAGGCTCATCGGTGGTTACCGGTATGGATCCGCACAGAAAGCCGGCGGGCTTCGGCCGCGCAATTTCCAGCCTTCCCACGCACTGCAGCTCCCGCGACTCCGATCCTTGTTTTTCCATTATATCCACTTGACTGCAAGAATTCGATCGCCAAAGATAGGGTTTCTTCTGCTTTTCTTTATCCCAGTGATTATTGAGGTTTTAATTCAACTGTTCATTGCGGAGTGTTCATCTGCAAAATGGATTGGACTTTGTGAAAATGGTGATTTTTCTTCTGGAAAATTCCTGTGAGCTTTCAAATTAAAACTTTTTTTTTTTCTTTTGATTGCTCATTTGTATAGCATTTTATCGAGTGACTGTGAAACTCGTGTCTTGCTGCCAGCTTGCCACGTACGTGCTTGGTTTTATTGCTATTTTACAGTGAAACTAGTACGTGGCCCGTGCGATGCACGGGAAAATAATATTTTGATTGTATTATAAATTAAATAAATAAATAACATTAATCATAATTTACCCATTATTTATAAATTAAATCGGGTTGGACATAGTCCGACCGGATGGACCGAGAACCGGTTTATACCGATTTAGTGCGCTTGAATAAAATATTTGCTATCGAATCCGCCAACACCGTATGTTGGACTGGTAAGATCGATACGATTTTCTAAACAAATTTTGTTACATGAAAAATTATTTTAAATAAAATTACATATTTAAATAAAATAGAGATTTATAAATTGTTTATCAATTAGTTTAAACATTTGAATTTATAAATTGTTTAGATATTTAAGTAACACTTTCTATTTAAATTTATTACAAAGAGTACTATATATATATTAAAGTATTATGTATTAAAATCTGAACAACCACAAGACGGTAAGATTTTGAAAACCTTATATTTACCGTACATTAATAAAATGACAATGAAATAAATAATTTGTTCACATAAATAATAATAAAATGATATATAAATATTCATAAATCATTAATCATGTTGTCATAAAAGTATTGTTAATATGATTATTTGAAGTTTGGACGACATTACATTCACGTAATAAAGTATTTTCAATATTAAAATTTATATTTAGGTTCAATAATTAATTTGGTCTGGTCAAACTGATACATAACTTAATTACCTCGGACCAACCAAGTGATGTCAAGTTTTTTTTACTATTTTAAATATCACCTAAACGTAATTCAATCAAAGTGGACAGTACCCTAATTCAATCACCCGATTGATCCAAAGTAATTTTCTTATTTTCTTTAAATATAATATTTAATTTTATGAAATAAAAATATTTTATGATTCATGTGTCTACACCAAATGATAGTATATTAAGATTATAAATTATATATCCAAAGATGAACTATTTATGCATATTAATAAAAAATAAACATAGTAATTTTAAAAAAATTAAGATTAATTGATTGAGTATGCAATTTAAAAAATATTTTTAGCGTTCAATATATATATATATATATATATATATATATGTATATATTTAACATGATTGAATTTTTGGATTAGAATATATATATTTAAAATTATTTTATTATTAAAAGTCAAAAAGAAAAGATGGCATAAAGATTATAACTTTGAAAAGTTTGTAACCATTAATTTATGAACCCTCCGATTTTAAATGACTTATAATTTTTGAAACATGATCGTACATTTAAAACCCATTAATTTAGGAACCATCCAATTTTTTGATAATGAATTAAAATTAAAATGTAAAATGTAAAAGTTGCTGAAAATAGTATATAATAAATGTGGTTGACTTTTCCTTACTACTATTTATGGTAAATGTTAATTCTTATTATATATATATAGATTCAAAAACATTCCCTAGAGTTCGAATCAAGTTTTATGTAAAATTGATTGTTTGACATATGATTATAGGGTCAAACCGAGGGGTACTCAATTTTTTTTGTATCAAATCAGTAAAAATATTTAATTATTTATATTTATATTAGACTACAATTGAGTTTAATTTAGAATTTTATTCAATTCATTCAATATAATAATAGATATTCAATTCGAATATTTATTTTAAAAAATCCACCTATAAAGACAATAATATATACAAATAATATAATATAACATATCTATATATATTGAAAAAGAGAGGTCAATAAATTATTTGTGGAAACTTCATAAAAAATCCCATCCAACTCATTTGACTTACTTATAATAGAAACATTTTAAATCTTCCACAAAAAACAATTGTGAGGATTTTTATGAAATCCGATGAGGCAAAATCATTCCATATCAGATAAAAATTATGTTTACACTATATCCGTGAATATGGTTATGTAATTTTTGGATAAGATATTTACACCATATCCATATAAACGTGCACCACAATCACATCGGCACAGGAGAATGAGGCGTCGTAGATGAATGCGAAGGATTTCGGTTGGAAGACCGCAAGTAATTTCGAATTCGATGCAACCCCTGTTGCTTGGCTGGTGGATCCAGTGAGGTTGTGGATCCAGTAATTTCGAATTCGATACTTTTTTGCTAATATTTCTTAGAGATTCTTTTTTGTTTTCATTTTATTTCTTTGTGATTCCAGTTGTTTTCTTAAGTAATTAGCCTCGATTGCGCGGCTGCCCCGACCTTCCTCTTCTGCCGTTAGCATCGCGACTTCGGCCAGGCGCTGCTGCCTGTGGATGGACCGGGGAAGCACCGGCCCCACCTAACGATAGTGACGGGATGAGCATCTTAATGTTCTGCGCACCCGTTCACTGAAAGATAATCAACAAAATCACCGCGTTTTGAATGACCAAATAATGGGTAATAATGATGACGACGATGGCAAAATGGAGAATAACTTGATATACCTCAATTCTAGACCCCAGAGAATGTACAGACAAGCTCCAACTAACCAACTAACCAGGTTTCATTTTTTTTAGTCATTAATTAGACTCATTGGTCATGTTATGAATTTTGTGCTTTTGTGATCTTAAAGATGCGACATGTTATTTCTTTTCTTGGAAGGAACAAGTGAATAATTTGGTTGAGAACAATCTTGATCCATGAGCAGGTCGATACCTCAAAAAGGAACCTGATAAGGAATGAATGTATGCTGCGACTATGGGTGTGTGACTAAATATCTCAGAAGCCTTTGGTTTTCTTGCTGAATTTTTGAACAAATAATTTTACTGAAAAATCGTGTGTTGTTAGTTCTTTTGTTTGGCATTATACACGAAGCTAAAAGAAGGATAGACTTAGTTGTTTTGTTAAAAAAATGGATTTTTTAGATTTGTATGCGTCCAGTAACTCTTTCTATAGGTGGAATTTCTCGCCAAAGGGTGTTTTTATCATATTGCTCTATATTATTAGGCCCCGAGTTTTGAAATCATCCCAACATCTGTTTTATTTTTGTCTTTCATATTTTTTGGACATTTGGGATATTCAGAGTCAAACAACTCCTAATTGTTTAGATGGTTGTCGAGTCACTCATAACAGAAAACTATGTATAGATCTTCTACCATCTCCAAGAAGCAATTGTTCTCATTATTTCATTTTGACAATTAAAAAATATCAAAATCATTTTTCGTTTCTGTGCACCTGACTGCAGATTTTTAGCACTAGAAATGGAATGGGACAGCAGCGTTGCCACATTTGGGCTCGATTTTCACAGTGGATAGGATCGGGAGGCAGCTGCTCTTCATTGAGATTTGAGGGTGGCCTTCAGATGCTCATTTGCCAGGTATTATTATTATTATTTGTTGTTGTTGTTGTTGTTGTAAATGTAAATCCCTATTAGTTCGTTAGTTTATTTGATATCCTTTCAATTTTTTTTTTAATTTTTTTTTTAACATTTGTCTATGAGTAATCTTTGAGTTTGGCAGCATATCTTATCTGGTGGCAATAATTCCTAATACCATTTTAAAAAAAAATAATTTCCTTTTGAAACAAAAACAATATATATATTATGTGATAAAATTGACAATATGTATTAAAAACTTATAACGTCGTTACATTGTAAATTTATAAGAATATTTAAAATATTTTATCTTCATATTCATAAAATTAAGGTAAATAAATATTGGCTGGAATAATTATATCTTAATATGATGGAAATCTTTCAATTATTCTCATCTTCATTCTTCTAATTTTTAAATTTATAAAAATATTTAAAATATTTTATCTCCATATTCATAAAACTAAGGTAAATAAATATTGGCTGGAATAATATATCTTAATCTGATGGAAATCTTTCAACTATTCCCAACTTCATTCTTCTAATTTTTTTTGTTTCGTGTTCAAGTAATTCGCCCAGAAAACTAATGTCCCTAATGTAAATAAGAAGTTAATTAAATTTATGAATTTATAATGTTTATCTATCAGTAAGTGCAAACAAATCTCCTTGATTTGGGGACATCAATATTTGGTATAGATAAAAACTAAATTAGAATTTAGCTATATTATTACCCACTAAATTCGTGAAAATTTAAGTAGTAACCATATTTTTATATATTTTCAAACATTATTATACAATAATCAACACATTATAAATCCCTAAAAAATTGCTCGGTGGTTACATTTGAGATAACTGATTTTTTCTACACACATACCTCTATATCTATAGTAATATAAAGAGATTGTTATAAAAATAGAAAAATAGTAACTTTGACTTAAAAAAATAATTGTTGACTTATTTTGATAACAAGTCTGGGATCTTGGTAACAAATTTGATCTTATTTTGATAACAAATCTCAGATTTTGTTAACAAATTTGATCTGATTGTGATAACAAATATCAGATTGTGATAACAAATCTCGAATTTTGACAACAAATATTTTAAAATATCGTTTTTTTGGTAACACACTTCATAGTTATTTACACACAATATATTGTCGATAATCTTTGGAATTTCTTATGATAGCATATTTCACAATTTTTTCGGATTGTTTGGAGTTAAATATTGCAGAAAAATCTCGAGGTACATATCAAAATAAAAGTATTATATTTCAATCAATCAAAAAAGCCTTATCAAATTAAATTGTAACAAACACCATTAATTTTGGTAAACATTATGTTACATTGATATAACACATAATCTTCAAAATAAAAAATTAATTGTTGATTTACTAATATAAGCAATATCAATGGGCCCCACATGTCAACCAATTTAATCGGATTTTGGTAACAAGTTTGATCGAATTTTGATAATAAATCTCGGATTTTAATAACAAATTTGATCTTATTTTGATAATAAATCTCCGATTTTGTTAACAGATTTGATTTGATTGTGATAACAAAATTTTGATAACAAATCTTTTAAAATATCGGTTTTTTTGTAACACACTTCATATAATTTACACATAATATATTGCAGACAATCTTTGGGATTTCATTTGGTAACAAATTTCACAATTTTTCGGATTGTTTGGAGTTAAATATTGCAGAAAAAATCTCAAGATTTGATAAATGATACATGTCAAAATAAAAATATTATTTTTCAATCAATCCAAAAAGTCTTAACAAATTAAATTTTAACAAACTCCATTAATTTTGGTAAACATTATGTCACATTGATATGACACATAATCTTCAAAATAAATAATTAATTGTTGACTTACTTATATAAGCATTCTCAATGGGCCCCACATGTGAACCAATTTAATCGGATTTTGGTAACAAATTTGTTCGGATTTTGATAACAAGTCTCGGATCTTGGTAACAAATTTGGTCTTATTTTGATAACAAATTTCGGATTTTGTTAACAAATTTGATCTGATTGTGATGACAAATCTCGGATTTTGATAACAAATATTTTAAAATATCAGTTTTTTTGGTAACACTTTGTAGTTAATTACACACTCTATATTGTCGATAATCTTTGAGATTTCTTATGGTAACATATTTCACAATTTTTTCGGATTGTTTGGAGTTAAATTTTGCAGAAAAATCTCGAGATTTGATAAATGATACATATCAAAATAAAAATATTATTTTTCAATCAATCCAAAAAGTTTTACCAAATTAAATTTTATCAAACACAATTTTTTTTGGTAAACATTATGTCACATTGATATAACACATAATCTTCAAAATAAAAAATTAATTGTTGACTTACTAATATAAGCAATATCAATGGGCCCCACATGTTAACCAATTTAATCAGATTTTGGTAACAAATTTGATCAAATTTGGATGACAAATCTCGGATTTTGGTAAAATATTATTTTTCAATCAATCCAAAAAGTCTTACAAAATTAAATTGTAACAAACTTCATTAATTCTGGTAAACATTATGTTACATTGATATGGCACATAATCTTCAATAATCGACAAATCCGAGACACATGTAACAAATTCCACATTTTTTGTTTCTGTTCTTTTTTTCTTTTTTAACAAAAATGGTTAAACATATTTTTTGAAGTCGATCGTAATCACATTATTTAAGAAAATAAATCATACTCAACTTAAAAACTTGACGTAAATCAATTTTTAAATTTCGGTGCGGGGCATATGTCACATACACAAATGTCTATATAACCATCACCAACATTGAACAAAAAATATTCTACAACCAATACATCCCACAATTTTTTTTTTTTCACAAGTTTTTTCGTATACATTCAAAATGACATTGAATTTTGGAGTAATCATGGATATCAAATAATATTGACATCTATAAATCGACGATAGGTAATTGGAGGATCATTATTAATGGCCAAACCGACATTCTCAAGTGGAGGGGTGAATTTCCTATGTATCGTTTTGACTTTAGTAACTTTCTAACTATAATGGATGTTCATAATGTTGATGAAGCCATGTTGTTTGGTACGTTATAATTTTTTGTTTATTTTTTATTTTGATTTTTTTAAGTTAAAATTTTTAATAAACTATATTATACAATATACGTTTCAATATGATGCATTGTCTTATATTTTTGTAGATGTTATTGGATTGGTTGTTTCAATACAACCTATTCGAATGAAGACTGTCGAGGGAGTTCCTACCAAATGATTGTATTCTCTAATTATGGATTTGGAGTAAGAATCTTTAGAATTATATATTCATATTTTATATTCTAATGTTTATATGATTTTTTTTATTATATTTCGATTAATGTTTTACGCATGTAATATCGTAAAATAAATTAAAATATCAATATTTAAAATTTATTTTCGCAACTCATAATATGCCCTTTAAAAACCTATTGGACATTGTGTAGGGAAAACATAAAGAACTGCACGGTTTAGGGCCAATTGTATGTTGTTGTCTCTCGTGTCACAAACAGAAATGGTTTGAAAATCCTAATTTGTGGCGACGATGACGTGCCAAATAATCAAACCATGAACGTTACATATAAGGAAATGTTCAATAAGATATATATTTTATTTTCATTATATTTATTAATTTATTAATTATTAATGACATGGTCTTTCCTTTAGTAAGTACTTAAAATTTTAACTTAAAATTATTTTTTAAAAGGAACAAAGATAATAAACTCACGTGCATCGCACGGGTACTGTACTAGTTACATATAAATCTATACTTATATAAAAAGCCATCCTATTTACTAGAAATAGTATGCAGAAAAGTCAAAGGTAATTAATGCTTGCTGGAAATAAAATGACATTAATTACAAATTTATTTTGGTATTTAAAGGATTGACATTAAAGATTTGTTATGGGATAAAAATCAGAACTGATTTTTTTACCTTTGCTGGAAAAGTCAAAGGTAAGTATAGATTTGTTTATATTATCAAATCATAAAAAGATATTAAATCCATATTGTAAAAAAAAATAATTTATATAATTTTATAACAATTCTACTACACTATTTAACAGTATTCCTTTTTATTATATAATAAAATAATAATTAAATATTATACGGTGAACAACAATAAGTAAAACTGTTACTTTCTCTTATATCAAGGGATAAATTTATATACTAAAATTATTTTTTTATTTGTATAAATGTTTTAATGAGATAATATATTAATTATTTTACAAGCTAGCTCTAACATGCTCATATTTAATATTTTGGCTAAAAAAACAAGACTTAAATGGACAGGCTGTGAAAATAACTCATTTAATATCTCTGTTCCGTGCATTGCACGGGGGTACGTACCAGTATAATTGAACACATAAACGTTCTTATTTTATTTCTAAATATAAACTTGAACATTTATTAAAATATTATATATGTAAATATGTTTTTAATATATTTAATTAATATATACAAATGAATAAAATTTTAATTTCATCAATGGGCTAAACCAACCATTAAATAGGCCTAGCGTCCAAAGCAGATTTGGGCCCAAGTTAATAAAAATTGGCCCAGATCCAATGCAAAGCCCACAACAATTAAAATGGCAAAACAAAAAGG